CTGGTCGCCCTTCCGTCTCATCTAAAGAAATGCTCTCATAGGACAAAGTGTGTCAAACACCCGCTATGCATTCCCGTGGGGCGGAGATGTTTTTCCACCAAAGTGAGAGGACGAAAAGCCAACGTCCGGGGATATAACTGGGTCAGTGAATCCCAACAGTTCACCTAAGGGAGTTGACCAATAACCTTGATTCCAAAACAACCAACGAGAGACATACAAACCAGACTCACCCATAGCTTCCTGGTCATGGCAGTGATCACCGGCGCGATTGGGCATCGAGGTATTAGGCACCTTGGACGTTTGATCCCGTCCAAGGGACATACGATCCAATGAACTGGATATCAACTCCCATTGTGGTTTTCACACACTGTCCCACAACATTGCGTATCATGCTTTGGTTATCCGATGGCTCAAGTTATGAATTCCCTAAGAAAATTCACCTGCTTTCGCCTGGGTAACCGAGCGGTATCGCGCCCACAAGCAAATCACGTACATTTTTTCTTTCTATAAAGATTATTGTACTGTGATTTGTTTGGTACACAGTCTGAACTCAGGCGTGTGTAAAAATAGATCAACCCCTCGAATAGAAAAACGAACCACGAAAAAAGTTGGAAATACTAGGCATACGGAAAAAAATCAATCACCTCATCAGCATTTCCCACTTCGCCATCGGTTAAAAATATGATTTGTTTGTACCAACCGGTCCCGGTTAAAGGAGTTCGGAAAGCCTCTCGCAGGGCCGGTAACACTTCTGTGCCACCCATGTCCGCCTGTAACTGGCGTTGGTATTCGATCGCGCGTTCCACGTTTGCATCATTGTATTCCACAGGTCTGCGTGAAACGAGGGAACATCGCGCAAATGAAAGTAAGCTCAACGAAGTGTTTTGTTTCAAATTACATTAAGGGTGTGAAAATATCACCGCTTTGAACAGCACTCACAGAACACTCATCGCAAACATTTTCTGTGTCCGCGTGTGGGTGTTACGCGGAAGCGAGCTGGTTGAGAGAAATCAATTTGGTGATTATTTGGTATTTATGTATATTAAATGCTTCTCGACACTGTGAACCCTACATGATCGCTGAACTTGCCAGTTCTATAAAAATTAGTAAACGAAAGACAGGAAAAACATTGGCAATTGGGTAATTTTTGTGAAGTCGCTGGTGGCCGAAAACACACGAGCACGCATACACTCAAACACTAGCTCCAGTGCGCGCGTTTTTACTCGCTCAAGTATAGTAAGTAGTATGTGATTGACCAGACAGAATTTCCATGGAAGCACACGACCGGTTTCGCGGTTCTTGCCGCTCGTCTGGTCTGCGTGAAATGAGGAGAGAACACAACAGTGGATGAAACAAATGGCCTGAATGCAAGAAAACGTTTTGTCGCCAGTGATCTGTGATCCGTGGAAATATTACGGCTCAACAGAAGTAGATGCGGCAGTGTCAAGCGGTATGTGCAGTGTAGCCTAATCTCAACATTCATATCTGCTTCGCAACTTCAGAAGTTTTAAGGATATGAGCTCTTTTCGATCATTGTGTGGCAATTTGTGATCAAATGGGAGTATACAAGACCATCCAGGTATTAACCAGCTTGTTTGCTGCCTTTTGACAAGACAGAAGGATTCCATGTGGTTGGGAATACAGAAAGTGCAGGAGTGTCCGAAAGTTTTGAAATCAGTGGGGAAAAAAGTCTCAAGATAAAAGTTCAACATTTGAGAACAGAAGCCAGAGAAAAGAGATGAGAGAATCGGAATCGGAGGCTGTTAACCGCAAGTAACTAGACATGAAGATCGATATTTTATGACTTTATAAAAAGTAGCATTAGAACAAAAAATTCCTCGGACGTGTGATTTCGTAGCTCCTTTTTTAGTGCGATGAACAGTACAAGAGATAAACCTGAAATTTCCAAGGACCTATTGTCTGATTATGGGAACTGGAGATCAAAGACTTTGGGAATTTAAAGTCGTGAACTATGTGAGTGGATAGATATGGTACATAACCCAACGACAAAGAAGCCAACTGGCTACCACAAAACCGATTGGTTATTGTATATAGCGATAGTGATATGTAACTTATGATGGGAGCTCGTGACGCAACGGTAGTGCGTCTGACTCCAGATCAGAAGATCGCGTGTTTGAATCACGCCGGGCTTACATACCTGAGAGTGTTGCGTCACTGACGGACACATTTAGTTACATGTTCTTGGTCCCGTATTTCAATATATGTCCAG